AGCCCACTTCTTCGGATGCATCTGATGAAGTGGGCTGTAGCCCACGAAAGCTTATGCTCAAATAAATTTGTTAGTCTCTAAGGTGCCACAAGTACTCCTGTTCTTTTTCTATAGTAGAGTGTTACTACATAGTCCAGGGCTGGTATACTGCATTGATACCCCAGTACTTCATGCAGAACAGTAATAGAACATGCAGAATTGATACCCCAGTACTTCATGCAGGGGCAGTAATTGTGGTGGGGGATAATGCAGCTATTACACAAGTATTGTATGAAATCTGCTATGTCCCCAGAGTTCAATGAGATACCTGAGTATTATGTTGTATTGCCCTAGAGTATAGGTGAGTGTTCGCTGCGATGTATTTGAATACTGCTTGGTACGGCTGGGCTGCTTCCTCAAAACGGCCCCTTGATGTTATCTGAGTACTGTGTGGTACTGGCTTTACTCAAGTGCCGAGTAATATTGCTCCAGGGTTTCCTCTAGTGGTACTCAAGTACTGCTTGATCCATGGCAATGTCTCCTGATGGTACCCAAGTACTGTTTAGTACTGGCGAGCAACGTCACTGTTGTCCGTTTGACCCAAGTGCTGTGTGATGCATGCAGATTCCTCCCCCAAAGTATACCATGATGGTACCCGAGTAACCCTATAGCACTGGTGACGTTGTAACGCTGAGTTACTCCAGGGCATTGTGCAATGATACTGGAGCATTATACGAGTCTTTGAGATCTCCCCTGAGCATACCCTAACAGTGCCCGCTGCCCGTATAGCATGGAGGATACTCAAGTTCTCAGTAACGTTACTGCAGGGAATTGGCCAGTGGTACTAGAGTCCTATGCAAAGCATAGAGCCGTCTCCCCCAGACAGCACCCGAGTACTGCTGCTACTCAAGCACTGAGTAATGTTACTCCAGGACATGATCCAGTGATACCACGTGATGCATGGGGGATTCCCCCCCCCCGCCAAGCATACCCTGAAGGTACCTGAGTACCGCACGGCACTGAGAAATGTTACTCCAGGACTTGGTCCCATGACACTGACCCCCCTTCTCTCCCCGCAGCCGAGCCAGAGCCGACTATCCTGTGTGTCTATGTGAGCCGAGAGGACTCCTCGCTGGCGGTGGCTTTCTCCCAGCCTGTGGTGGTGAGTACCCGCGAGCCGGGGTGGAGGGAGGCAGTGCTAACCCGGGGCTCACAAGCGTCTCCTCCGGCAGGTGATGCCAGGATCCTGCGACCTGCTGCTCTTCGCAGACGAGGCCCCCCTGGCGGTGAATTGGCACACACCCGACGGGAAAAACCGCCCTGGCCTCATGTGGGTATCCTGCCAGACGCCTGGGTTCTCGCCCACTCGGGGAGGAGAGTGGAGTCTAGTGGTTAGAAGGGGGGGGGGGGGCCGCTGGGAGCAAGGACTCCTGGGTTCTCCGGAAGGGGAGAGGGGTCCAGTGGGTTAGAGCAGGGGGGGCTGGGAGCCCAGACTCCTGGGTTCTCTGGGAGGGGAGTGAGGTCTACTGGCTAGAACCTTTTTCCTTGACCCACCCCCACCCCAGCTGTGTGACCTGCCGGCCTCGGCCCTCAACGAGCACTGGCCCCAGCACACCTTCCGGGTGCACTGGGCGGGCGGGGAGTCCCAGAAGGAGTGCGTCCTCTTCAAAGGTAACCAGGCACCTCCCACCCCCGAAAATCCATCCCCCCCCACCCCTGACGCTCTGCCTCTGCCCCCCAGGCTGCAGTGAAGGCTGGTGCCGGGACTCCGTCACCGAGGAGCAGGTGTTCAGGTAGGAGACCCCGCCCCCCACCCTGGGTCATCTGCCTCAGAGGCCCCACCCCCTGAGGGAAGTCCCGCCTACTCCCCCAGAAGCTCCACCCCTCGCAGAGTAGCCCCTTTTCCTAGTGTGCATGTTCTAGACAGGCCCCGCCCCCTCAGAATGGCCCTGCCTCCAGTCTGTCCAAGTAGCCCCACCCCCGGTGTGTTCCAGACAGGCTCCGCCCCTAAAGAGCAGCTCTGTCCCTTTCCATTCGAGACTAGCACCACCTCTCAGATAAACCACACCTCCTGATTGTGTGTAGGTGGATAGGCTCCGCCCCCTGGGGGTTGCCACGCCCCCTTTACGTGCATGTTTCACACTAGCCCCCATCACTTGAGTATCTTTTTAGTAAAACACCCCCCCCGTCTGTAGTCAGAGCTAGCTCCTCCTCCCCCATTTGAGTGCAGCGCAGCGCCCCCCCCCGGATGGGCCCCAGCCCCACCCATCTCAAGTGCTGGCTGGCCCCCTAACCTCCCCCCCTCCCACCCAGGTGCGAGCTCTCCATGGAGAAGTCGACTGTGCTGCAGTCGGAACTGGAGTCCTGTAAGGAGCTGCAGGCCCTGGAGCCGCAGAACAAGTGTAGGTACCTACCGGACGCCTGGGTTCTAGTGGTTAGAGCGGGGGGGGGGACGGGCTGGGCGTCAGGACTCCTGGGTTCTATCCTGGCTCTGGGAGGGGAGCAGGGTCTAGTGGTTAGAGCAGGGGGACTGGGTGCCAGGACTCCTGGGTTCTATCCCGGCTCTGGGAGGGGAGCCGGGTCTGGTGGTTAGAGCGGGGGGACTGGGTGCCAGGACTCCTGGGTTCTCTCTGTCTCCGCAGGGTGTCTCCTCACCATCATCCTCCTCATGCGGGCCCTGGACCCCCTGGTGTACGAACGCGAGACCCTCAGCTACTTCGACACCCTGAAGGTGAGGGGCGGGGAGAGGGGAAAGGGGATCTTTGGGGGAGGGGGGCTCGGAGCTGCACTTCCCAGCCCCCCACCCCCCCATCTCTCTGCCCCCCCAGGCCGCTGACCCCATGCGCTCGGCCTATCTGGATGACCTGCGCAGCAGATTCCTCGTGGAGAACAGCATCCTGCGGATGGAGTACGCCGAGGCCAGGGTGGTGGACCTGTCCTGCCGGGTACGGGCCGGGGGCGGGGCCGGGAGAACAAAGCGCAGGGGCAAGAGGGGACTAGTGGGCGGAGCTGAGAACAGGGAGAGGCAGGGGGTGGAGCTAGAGGATTGATGGAAGGGTGAGCACTAATGAGTGAGGCCAAATGGGAAGTGGGCGGGACTAGAGGGGGCAAAGGGCGTGGCTAATACAAGAGGGGAGGCAGGAGGTGGAGCAGGGGACAGGAGTGGAGCTAAGAGAACAGGGTGGGGCCAGAAAGGCAGGGGGCGAAGCCAGGAGGCTGAATGTGCAGGAGGGGACAGCAGGGGTAGAGCTGATGAATAGAGGTGGAGGAATAGAGGTCAGGGCCAAGTAGGTGGGTGGGGCTGAGGAGCAGAGACCCCCTCCCTCCAGCTCTCTCTGCCCCCCAGGGCCTGACCATCCTCTGCCACCTGGAGCAGCTGCCGCTCGTCACCCACCTGAACCTGGCCGGGAACCGGCTGCGCCGCCTCCCTCCCACCCTGGCCATGCTGCGCTGCCTCGAGGTGAGAGACCTCAGAGAGGGGAGGGACCCAGGCGTCCGGGCGCCCAACTCCTCCCCCGGTCTAACCACTAGCCCCAATACCCCTGGAGCGGAGAGGGCCCCAGCCCCCCTCCCCTGGTCTCACCGCTAGCCCCCCACACACCGCCCGGGAGCAGGTGGAGGGACCCAGGTGGCCGGGGGGGGAAGGGGGTGTGTGTCACTGATTCTCTGTGTCCCCAGGTGCTGGAGCTGGATGGGAACCAGATCGAGACCCTCGAGGGGCTGCCCCCCCTCCCCCGCCTGGAGGAGCTCTCAGCCTGCAGCAACTGTATCCTCCAGCCCCCCCGCATGGGGCAGGGAGCCCCTCACGGGCGGTGGGGGAAGGGCAGTGGGGGAGGGGAGAAAGGAGAGGGGGTGGAGGAGGGGCAGAGGAGGGCTGGGATGGGGGGAGCTCTGGGGGGGTTGGGGCCCTCTAGCCATTGCACCCTCCTTGACTCTGCTGCTCCTCCCCCACCCCCAGGCATCCAGCGACCTTCTGACCTGCGACCTTTGGCCTCCTTCCCCAAGCTCCGCATCCTGGCCCTGCGGGGGAACCCCCTGGGTGACCTCCCTGATGCCCAATCAGAGCTGGCCGTGCTGCTGCCCCTTGTGGAGATCGCCCTCTCCTGATTGGCCGGGAGCGGCTGGCCCCGCCCATTCTCCCTTGCCCGCCAATAATTTATTGGACCCAGGAAATAAAAGGTTAAAAATGTCCTGGTGTGAACTGAGTCATTGGGTGCCCCTCCTGACCCACAGCCCCCGTTTGCCCCCCCCCTCCAGCTCTGCCGGTGCCCCTCCCGACCCACAGCCCCTGCTGGTGCCCCTCACTCCTGACCCGCAGCCCCTGCTAGTCCAGCCCTGCTCCCCCCACACCCTGCTGGTGCCCCTCACTCCCAACCCACAGCCCCTGCTGGTGCCCCTCGCTCCTGACCTGCAGCCCCTGCTAGTCCAGCCCCCCCGCTCTGCCGGAGCCCCTCCAACCCACAGCCCCTGCTAGTCCAGCCCTGCTCCCCCCACACCCTGCCGCTGCCTCTCACTCCCGACCTGCGGGCCCCCCAGGCTGCCGGCCCGCTCCCTGGGCAGAAGGAATTTACTCTGACATCACCCCTCTCTGGGGCAGGGCCCCGCCTGTTACACCGAATTCCTCGCACTCCTTGCTCCGTTGGGCTGCTGCACCCCAGCGGAAGCCGTGACATCCGCCACTCACCCGCAGTTGCTTCACGCTCTTCGTGGGAACGGTGACACCCCGACACGCAACTGGAGCCACCGCAGGGGTTACGACATCCCGGGCATTTCTTGGCACATCAGGCCTTGAGTGATATGGGGCAGCACCCGGCCAGCCCCACCCGGGGCTCCTCCCCCTCCGCTCCCCAGCCCCACGGTGCCAGGAACCCCGGGCGGGGAGCCAGGTTCAAGTGGGAGACACTTCACAGCCTCCTCCCAAATTCCTGACTGGGCAGGGCAGGTGGGGAGCCCCAGGCTGGGCTGGCAGGGGGCTGTGGGGGGGGGGGGGGGGGGGCACGGGCGGGGCGGGGCTAACGGGGGCTGTGGGTGGGGAGTGAGGGGCACCGGCAGAGGTGGTGGGGGAGGCCCTGTGTCCCATTCTCTGCCCCCCCCTGAGCCAGCCAAACCCCACCCTGGGGCTGGCTTTGAGCCAGCCCCCCGCAGGGGGAGAATCCCTGGGCTCCGTGGGGCAGGTTGGGCTGGTTTCGTCTGTTCCAGCGTTGGCCTGACTGTGCCAGGGACGGGGGGGATTTGGGGCCCTAATGAGCATCTCTGGGGGGAGGGGCAGGCTGGGGGGTTCTGGGAGGAGGAGATGCCCCAGTGTCCCCCCCAAGCTCATCTGCTCCCTGCTTGGATAGCCCCCCTCCCCCAGCCTCACTCTCTTCCCACGGCCTGTCCCGATGCAGCCCTATCAGCTCCTGGGGTTAGCACGGCCCGGATGCCTGGGTTCTGTCTCTGCTCTGGGAGGGGAGGGAGGTCCAGTGGTTAGAGCAGGGAGCCTGGCAGCCCGGACTCTTGGGTTCTCTCCCAGCTCTGTCCTGGCAACATGGGGAATGGTTGCTGAGGGCTGTTCAGTGGCGGGGCAGGTTGGGGGAGCAGAAGACGCTGCCTCAGGGAGGTGGTTACAGCAGGGAAGCGGACGGGGTCCCCCCAGCCGGCAGGGGACTGGGGGACTCCCCACAGCACATCCCCTGCGGAGCAGAGGGCCGGGGGCAGGGGATGGAGCGGATGAGAGACAGAGAGGGAGTGGGGTGGATGGAGAGAGGGCGGCGTATGGGGCTAGATTAGCTGGGGTGTCCATGGGGGGAGAGAGGGGGTGGAGGGGGACAGATGGATTGAGGGGTGTGTAACGGGACAGAGAGGTAGGTGATAGATGGGGAGGTGGGGGTGTCTCTGGGGAGGGGTGCAGGGTGGGGATGGGGGGTCTGGGGTGGGGTCTGAGGATGGAAAGGGGGTGCGGTGTGGGGTGGGGGGATGGACAGGGGTATCTGTGAGGATGGATAGCTGGGGGGTGGGGGGTGTTGCCAGGCCCTGCTAGAGGAAGCGCCTGGGGGCCGCTGAGGTCACCCATCTCCTCCCCCCCCTCACGGGTGACTCGCGGGTCGCTGGGTGCGGACCCTCCCTGACCCCGCAGGCCCCGCCCCCTGGCTCCTCCCCCCACCCCCTGCGCTCCCAGCTCCGGAGCGCAGCGCCTGGCCCCAGAGCGCAGCGCAGCGAGCGAGCGCCCGGCCAGTGAGTGCGGGCTCCGGGGCTGGGGATTTGGGGGCTGAGAAGTTTGGGGTGCTGGGGAAGAGGTGTTGGGAGTTTAGGGGGCAGAGGGAAGAGGGGCTGGGGATTTGGGAGGCTGGGGAAGAGGTGCTGGGAGTTTGGGTGCTGGGGGGGCTGGGGAAAGAGTTGCTGGGAAGTTTGGGGTGC